AAGACGTTTTCCACCAGCAGTATGATTTACAAATGGACAGTGAAATTTGGTGAGCATTAAAAGTGTGAACGTACATCAGGACGGCTTTGGTCTGAGCACGTACGCAACAAAACATTTCAGCGCAAAAAATTGTTCTACTAGCAACGGTTTCCCATCTAGGAGCATTGTTTGTTCAGTGGACCCATTTATCGGTGGTTTTAGACCTTAGTTCACATTGGTGAGCCAGATGGTGACAATCCTGCCACTACACCAGCTGTTTTGTCTATTTTTCTCATTTTTTGTAGTCTGAAGCTCTTTTATTGTGCGCCAGGCAAGATGCCTATTTTACGTACTCCTCCGTTCAGATTTTGCCTGCCACCATTGAATCTTGGTGATCTTATCATGTCCTCAAAAAGTACGATAAACTTCTTTTAACTGTGCCTGCATTCCCATTCTGGTTTGAACACGACCAGGTCTCCATCAGACATTGCCTACTGCTTATTGCGTTGTCCTTTCATTCGCGCAATTTCCAGTAACCACATACCCCCCAGTCCTGCTTTCTTCTGACTGTAACCGTACGATTTTGCTTGAGGATGCGCCACTGCGGTGATTTCGCCACCAAAAAGCTAATTTATAATGGGTGTGTGGCTAAGGAAATAGAAATAAGAACGCCGGATTAATTATACAACAACAGAGATAAGAGGGAACAAGCTCGCTAAGAATTGTTCTCTTTAAAATATCTATTCGTTTGCAAGGTCAGCGAAATAATAATAACCCGATCATGTTTGCCCAGGAGTATTCTGCACAGTTTTCACATATGATAAATTTCGAAGATAGTCTGAAATGTTTTGATACCAGAGTTAGCACATGAAACTCGCGAACGACCGCTGCAAGTGCCAGCGAAATCAGAAGAGAAAATCGGAGCAGGTGTGTACGTTTGTATCGTCTGAAATAGTATCAAAGCACGTTCTTGTGGTTTCACGTATTCAATGAAAAATTTTGTGGAATTGACCAAATATGTAATGTCACAACGGAAACAAAAGAAAGGCACAAAACACAACACCACCCACTAGTTGGGAAGAAACATTATTATTATGAGGGCGCACCTGAAGAAGGTCGTCGTGGCTTGGGCACATAATATCAGTCGCTTGACCGTATTGCATTATTTTTGTGGAAAACAACAGAAAAATTCACTTGGCGGTCCCTGGAAAATTTTATACATGTCATCTATCTTCCTATCAACACGTGTTTCGTAATTTGTGAGTTGGAATTATTGTTTCTGAAAATAGACAATATAAGCGTATTTATCCATAAAGTTGTACAACCCAGAACGGTTGCCATTAAAAACCAATGATCTGATTATTCTCCAAGCAAGTTTATACCAAACACTGCCAGCGTTTCTGGAGCTCCTTGCTTAATGAATACGTACAAGCTGTCAATGATACATTTACAACCTTCCAGTCAGTATGGTGAGGATTAAGGTAAGTTACAACGTGGCCGCTGGTGTCGCCTGTGGTATCATGGTGGTACGTGGGCCTGAATGGCAAATTGGTGATACGAAATAAGCTTAACTGAAGTACCATATGAGAGTTTTCACCACGAATGGATATGTCTAGCGCAGCGCCAAACTTTCCTGCACCGCGAGACCACCAATGGTGTATCTACAATGATATACCAATGATGTACCCACAACAGTGCAACCAGTGAGTCTGCCTGCTTTCATATCCAACCACATTTTTGAGACAAAACTCGCAATGTGCTCCCAATTTTAATTATCCCATCTTCATCTCCACTTTTGCACGTTGTAACTCCGACCATTTACCCAACCGCCCAAGGTCACTCATGGCCAGCAGTGGTTTTCAGCTTTAGTTCATGCCAGCTGGCTGTATTTGAACTAGTCGGACCTTATGCCTATTGTTCCCAACAAGTTGGAAAAGAAACCTATTATTAATGGTTCATCGGATACTCTCCACCGTTTATGACATTGTTCCCTTTTTGTGCAATCCGTAGCTCCACAAATCCCCCTGTCATGCTTCATTCTGACTGCGAAACCACGATCATGCCAGACGGTATGCCACCCACAAGTTGGGAATAAACATTATTATTATTGCTATTATTAAAACAACTTTGATGTACTGTTCGTGAGATGCTGATCCATTAGCGTCGATATTATTGGGTCATGTGGATGCTAAACGGAATCCTGCGTTACAATCAAACCATGTCTTTCCGAGTGAAGATGCAGAAGTTGTTACCTACAAACCATCGAGCGCAAGCGTGGTTGCAGCCGGCTATCCGAAGATTTAACTGGCCTTCGCGGGGTCAGTATTTCTCACCTTTCAAAAGATCAGACTGCGGCAAACAACCACAGGTTTTAAAGCTTCCGTTGCCCTGCGCTCCTATTTGTTGTGAATTTGCTGGACGGGATTCTGGAAGTTGCCAATTTTTTCGTAGTCTTAAGTCTCTGCAGGTTACAGTTGCTTTACACATCTGCTGGGTTCTACCCCAAAAACCGCTGCCGAAATGTGCGTATGTCATGAAAATCCTTTATAGAGCGAAAGGAGGTTTAAATAGATAAACAGGCACCGCAGTGACTTTCAGACATTTACCTGGTTTTTATACTTACCCTGCGCGCACAATAATGAAAAATGTGGGCTGAAATAGCTACACAACAGATTATTCCAAATTGCATGTTAACCACTGACCTGCTCAAAAGTAGGCCTCAGCGATCACATTGCGACGTCTCATAACGAGGGTCCGTATGGGGCTTCCATTCACCGAAAATTTGCTTGTGGTACTAAAGGTGAACGACATTCAATCGTTAGCAAATTGCTCAAAAGTATGAAACTTACCTTACATAGCTACTGCCAGTTAACTGATGTGTTTTACGCAAGTCCGGGGTTGTGAAGCTTATACTTCCAGGTGTCTACAAATCCTGAACGACCCACCTTCATTTTCAGTTCGGAATTCTGCTGCTTACAAAAAATCATCCAGTGAAATACGCAACTGCTGGCCTTCTGGTTTGTCTGAGAGTGAGAGTCATTTAGGCACGCTGCAATAAAGCAACGTGTGTCAATCCTGAAGATCACAGTGGCGGTTAGCATGTGACAATACCAAATTTTATTCCCGTCGTTTTACTAAATAAGCAAAACAAAAACATTATCGCCACAAAACGTTTGCTGTCTACGAACCAGTGCTGGTGGTTTGAGCGGTACAAGGCCCATCAGTCACGTTGATCTATGCGTTTGGTGCCCGGTCCGAAAGTTTGTGTTTGATAAACATTTCAACGAGGGTGGTTTGCGCCATGTATCATAAACGCTCGGTCGAGTCCCACACGTCTCACCACTTCGCAAGCCCTAGTCTCATGTTACTGAAGGAGAACTTCAACGCTGGATTAAGGCGTTTTAATGAGCTAGAGCACCCTGATTGAAGGCGGGTTTGACCTACGCCTGTTCGGTACCGGTTCCCATTAAAGTTCCACAAGGCCCCGTTCTGAGGTAATTCCTGTTTGTCATCTACGTTGATGATCGTCCAAGTGCTCTTTGAAGTTCACGTATGCTTTCTGTGGATGAAGATAACCCCCGGTTTCCAACGCCATTGCCCACTAAATGGGCACCGACGCCGCACATCAGCGGTTATTCGAAAATCACCTTCCTATAAACGGCATAAACTGCGACCATGTGCCGTTCGGAGGAGACTCAGCGAATGTCTCTGTCGTGGGAAGAACCGTCCAGAGTACATCGCTGGGATTTATGCATCTGCTTCCCTTCAAACATGTTTTAATACTCTACAGCTTATGGAAGCCATAGTGTGACTCAGAAGGCATATACACGAGTAGCACTTTCTACTATGTTTGACGATAGTATGTTGCAACACGCATAAAAATAGATGCAATGCGAAACGTGGGGCAAGTCAAAAAGGGAGCTTTTCATTTGTAAGAGCCCCTTTGTGAAGGTCTCGACAGCAGAAATGCGTTTTCTGTATAGCACAGTTGCTCCACGTGTCCTGTAATTGTCCATGAACTTGTGGAGTGTGGCCGACTTCCTGCTCCATGTGCACGCGAGTCCGTGTGTTGACTGTGCCCAATTTTCCTATATGTGGGTACGTCTGCGTGTATGTTGGCGTGTCACCACACGACTTGTTACTGCGCTTACCAGACGGTGCAGATAGCCGATGTCAGATGAGTCACCTTTGTGTGACGTGGTTTTTGAATGTAGAAAAAAGGCGATTCTCGTCATTTCGTGAGCGACCGTGAGCTGAACTGTGAAGTATGCGGATGAAGGGATAGTCCTTCATACTGCGCCAAAAATCGTCTCAAAGGGTGTTCGTGGTTCAACGGATCCTCCGGTCCACCCTCCCCTGTATGCTTGCACAGACTTTCGGAAACTCTTTGGGGCCTACGTCAGACCTTTTCTCGAATGCGTCGACAAAGTTCGCTATCCAGGATGCAAGAAGGGTCTAAGCCCCATTGGGCATGTCCAAAGAGCTGCTGCGAAAATGACAACAGGCCTTAATTAACTTGATTGTGGAACGCGCCTCGCGGTGCTTCATTCATTTTCCTAGGGTGTCGTCGTCTCCGAGGCGGCTTACTTCTTACCAGTGCCTTGTTTGAACAAGGTTTGGCCAACAGGTTTTTCACCGCTGACCCAGCTTATACACGGCGGGTACATTGTAGGAAGGTTTTCAGGCTCAGAGCATACACTTTTATTAGGTAACAATCTAACTCATTTTGGGTGGTTGGGGCATGGAATGATCTTATTTGACGGTTGTTTATGATGTATCCGGTACCCAGTCCAAAGCACTTTCAGACGCTTTTTCTGTGAGTCTTAGCCCCGGCACGATTACTTTCCGTGCTGAGAACTTAAAGAACAAAACTACACCCATTTTTCGTTTATGCCTTTCAGGGGAACAAAAGTCACTGAACTACAAGGACAAATCTGACCTACGAAGCATAAGCGAAAGCCTCGATCTTGTGTACTAATCCGTGGATCCGCGGTGTTCTATCCCGACTTTGGACCAATCAGTGTGCCGTATTTCTAAAACCCCACCAGCTGTTGAGTTGCGTCGAAGTCTACTTGCGGACGCGATGTTTCGGTTGGGCCCCTCCCAATGGGGTCCTAGATTGCTGAGGAACGGTATGAAAATATCATTGATTTTGTCAGAATTCTGTATCTGAAATATTTTCCGAGGTTTTTTCTCTCATAGCCTTTCGTGCCTATTCTTGTCGGACTGCCGGGTCGCATCCGCGAATTCGGCCGACTCGGTCAACGTCCCTGCATCCATGCAGCAGTGACACCGGTGTTGACAGTGTTGTTTCACTGTCGCAAAACCAAAAGGTCTCATTGTATTTGAAGCAGTGTATTGAAAATCAATGAAAAGAGCGGGTGGGGAAGGTACCTGTTCCTAGCCCGGGACCAGCATTGTGAGGTGCCTACACCACGAAACGGTCAATGAGCCAATGTGGAAATAAGCTGATAGCCATTGACATCGATTAAACGCCGTTTCTTGTAACGTTCCCAGCCAATTGCAGGTGGGAAATCACGGAAATCCCATTATGGAAGGCGGACAGCACCAACAAAGCCTAAGCTCTTCGTAATCTCTCACACTCTTCTGCTAAGTAACATATTGTCCACCTTGGTGTTGTGTTTGCGTCATTCTGAAGGAGACGGAGAACAGCAATCGTCTCGGTAGACGGTGTTTCGGCATGCACAACATATGACTGAGCACCGAAGTTGATTGTCCTGGTTGTTTTCCGTGACTGACACAATCAGATACTAATTACCTGATTACCTCATTTGGAAATCCATGGATGCTCTCCGATAACATTAATCCTGCAGCGGTGTCGGTGGCAAACAACAGAAAAATACCTAAATCATCCTCCGTGGTGGTAACGTCTCACAGCCAATACAGCAATAGAATTTTTAGGTAGCCTACCACACGCCCAGAAGTATGTGATATTAGTGACCAGATTATGTTCACAAGGTCCATGGACATACCCTATTGAACAATCGTAGTTATTTAGAACACTGACCGGTCGACCTACCCAATATTGGAAAATGCACTCCAATGGGTTAGTTAACCGTAGGGCAACGGATTGGCGGCGTATTTAGTGCGAGTAGAAACTCTCTGTACCCTAGTACGTGGAGGGTGCATTCCTAGCTTACTGACTATAATGTTTGCAGTGGAGAACGGTTCAGTAATTCCACCGTTTGGCGTGAAGCGCGTCCTGCGTGAGGCTCCGATACATTGCTTCGGCTCGTGAACTTTCTGTCCATCGTCCTTTTCTGGCAGCGCAGTCGTCAGTGGCGTATGCAACGCCTAGGCTGACTCGGTGTTCAGTCAAACCGCCACCTGAAATACCGAAACATTTATCTTCTTAAAAATACCATACATAATCTGGCATTGGATGATGCAAAAACATGATAGGAGACTATGTGATGGCAAGTTATGAACACTTTTCATATAGTGCCCCTTCAGTCAACCAAATAAACGGTCCTGAAGTCGTTGATTGTTTGCGGAACTACTGTATTCGTCCTGCGGCGGAAGGGAATTGTGGATGCTGTTGTGTAGTTAGCTTTTTGGGATGGGGCCCACCCGACCCTCCTGCCTGGTGGGTGACAATGAACGATATGGCGGCTAGGTGATGTCATTAAGTTTCATGCTACCAGTTTCTATGTCGGTTGTAGGTCCGGGCACCTCGTTACCTAGGCTAGCTTTATTTCCCCTCCCAAATTTCTTCCTTTCCATTTTAAGGTCAAATTGACATCACTTACTGCAGTGAAGCACGAGTATTATCCTCTGATGTTTCGACGATTATTATTACTATTGTAATTATTATTATATCATGCGGCCAACGAACCTACCGGCAAAGATTGACGGCGTGGGAAGGGGATGGCGGCGTAACAATAAAAAGGTTCATTCAGATGAGTGAGAGAACGAAAGTAGGCAAAACCACCAGCTACGGTAGGAAGCTTGGCGAAGGTTTTGTACGACGGAGTGTGAAGGTGAGTGAACATAAATCTGGGTTTTGTTTGAAAGAGGTGGGGAGAACTACTACTGAACTTAGTCAGTATCACTAGGAGCACAGTAGATTAACCTATTCTTTTGGTTCCCTTGGGGTAATTTGACATCACTTTTCTGGTACAAAAGCCGATTTTGCCGAGAAAACGCTTCGGATATCAAAAGTTTATTCCTTGTGGTGACATTGCGCTTATTCGGGCATGTATTCGTTTTCGTACCCTCAGACTGCCTAACTACTTACGTTGGGTAAAGTAAAATTTAGGGGCTCATCTTACCTACTGCACAAACGATATCGGAATACGTATCATATCTGTGCGTACGGTATTTGAAAACATTTCTAGATTGATTGTACATGTGCAAAAATTACGCTAGTAGTCCATAAGTTGAAGCAATGTTCAAGGGTTTTTTTGTTTTTGATGATTTCGGATTGTATGTGATTGGCGAAATACTGCAGCTAATTAGCATGTTCCCCTAAGGAACTGTGGGTATACCGAGAGAGTGAATCCAGTTCAAAGCACTGAGAGGTTGATCTATGTTGACTTGGGGATACTCGATATCGCTTTCTCCTTCGATTTCTTTATGAGCAACAAGCGTCAGCAGTTCATCATCAAAGATTCGAATTCCTACTTAGCATCTTGGTTTGCCTCTCTTGGAGTGCTCCAGTGGTGAAATTCCCCCACCATCCCACCGCCATCATCCTTCCCATCCCACTATGGTAGAGCACTCTGCTGCCGGTAATCCAGTGGACTTAACTTGGTACATGCAGCGTTTGTAAGTATAACTTTCTGGGGGGTTCTTTGCCGATGCACTTTGCACTAAACATCCGCTTGTGATCTTCACGTTCACTTTTTCATAGGTGTCCGTAGTGCGAACAGTTCAAGTCGGGGTTCGCCTATGCAGGCTGCTCCACCTACAACAGCGGCGACTGGTGCCAGTTCAAGTCCGAAAGCAACAGCTTCTCCTCCACCGCCCCCGTCACCCGCGTCGGATAAGCTGGAAGTTTTTGTGGACGGAACGCCTGTTTTGTGTGACCCCGGAATGACCGTTCTGCAGGCCTGTGCTCTAGCTGGCGTACAAATACCGAGGTTAGCGGAAGAAACCTTTTCAACATAAAGGAAACTACTCACAAGGTTGCTGAAAACTCATCTGTCGAAGATGTCCAAAAAGTAGCTGCGTTTCACAACATATAATAATAATAATGTTTGCGCTGTAGCACCCACTCGGTGCCTAGCTGCCATACCATCCCAAGGAAGCACTAGGGACCGAGATACTGCCAGGTTTCCAAAGCCTAGACAGGAACAGTCGGGATGCAGGGATTGGTTTGATCCAAAGACATTCCTGAAAAACGTCTATCTTGTATGACACTCTAACAGACAGGACGTCGAAAAACAGCCTAACATTATTAGGTGCAAGAGAAGCTTCTATCCGCCCATTCTGTTTTTAAGAATGCGCTTTAAAATCATTGAGAACATAATATGTGAAAAAACGTAACGTGGTTTATTCAGCATAGCCTTAGCGGTAACAAGTGCCCTGTTGTGGTGGAGTTGCTGTCACGTAAACGAGCCACCATCAAAGAAGCAATCAGATGCCGTGGGTTTCTCGCGGATCGACCTATTTTGAAGGAAATAATGACTGCAAGTACCCACGGGTAAACGCCGGATTCGAACAAACATATTAGGGAGTGCCGTCAAGATGCAAATTGACGTGGTTCTTCATGCAGCTCAACGGATGAGGAACGCTGGGATCATTCGGACGAATTCGCATGCACCGTAGTCCAATGCCCTAATGAGCAGCAGACTTGGAGACAAGAATGACACATCCGGTACACGGGACCCCACCAACAGAAATGACACACAGTGACCGCTTCAACATTGCCACCTGGGTAGGACTTTCACCCACAATTAAACAGACCTGTCGCAGTAAGCTCCTGATTAGGCAATCAGTCTTCTCCTAACCTTCTTGCTGTGGTTAATCGTAGCACAGGTGTAACTGAATTAGTCCAGAACTTTCGGAGATGCGATGCGCTATGTGGATTCGAGGTGGCCTGTGATCGCAACAGAGGTAGGCTGCTCATCTGAGGTACAGACGGATCCGGAGACCAACTACAAGTGAATTCGAGAAGTGTTGTCCCAGTTCTCAAGTGAAAATAATCAAAAAGAGGCAACGGCCTCACGCTTACCTGTTGCACCAACCGTCTTTGAACTCTCTTGAGGCAGTTGGTGTCACAAGAATGCGAACAGTCTGTTACCAGTTAGTCAGTCACCTGCGAGCCCTGCATCCGCATATGGAGTGGACGAAATGAAACTATGGTTGACCTCAGTGCGGCAGATATTGAAGGCTGTGCCTGCGAACATGTGGGGAGAGCAAAAACTGTGACAGCACCAACTGTGGGCATCGTAACCATTCACGCGATTACCGCCTCTTTCTTGTTCTCTGTCATCAATTCGAAGTAAAGATTTACGAGGTGCCACAGATAACACTCGTCGTTACAGGGTCGGAGACGCCGGTCATAGGTCAAACATCATCATCTTCACCAACTGTAAAGCCGCGTACATACTGTACAGTGGTTATGGCCGCCACAATTTCGTTCGTCGACGGTCCAGGAAGGTATAACTGAAAAGCTACGAAGTGGTCAGATGTCCCACCCAGACTATGGCAATGCTTCCAAGACGGCGATCGTCAAGCACTGAAAAGTTTTAACGTCCTCAGCACACAGCGGTTAGGCTGCTAACACTTATAAAAATATGAAGTGCAACGCAGCATTGTTAACTCAACCGCATCAGTCTGGTATTGGGCAGCTGGCCAGACCTCATGGTCAACCGTTGGGCGGATGGAATCTGCATTTGTAGGGTCTTCTCCATCTTTCAGAAGGCGTATAATAGCTGCTTCTATAGATATGGACATGCTTGTCGCCCGTGAGAGTCGGACACCCTACTGCTTTTACACTCACGTCGCAGGGAACAATCGGGCTTGAACCCCGTACCGATTTTTAGTACGAGATCTCGCTGCGGTTAGTTTGACTCCTCCCCTTTGTCCTTCCTCTCATGTTTGCACCTTGCGAAACGAAGCTTCCGCTATTGCAGCTCGATGAGTCAATGCATCACCCAAGCCAGACTACCGCATCAAACTGGAGTCTTTAGGTTACGAGCAGCTTTAGGTCCTGTCATAGACGAAGTGTCAAAAGAGCGATGGAGAATGTCAGTAAAAGTCATCAAAACAAACACCGTTGCGAACGAAGCTTGATTTGTGGGATTGTCATCACGAATTCGTACGCAAATGCGCAACAGTCACATATACACGCATACAACAAGGAATAAGGCTCAATCACTAATCGAGACCGATCATTCTACAGATAAATCACGTGCTTTTCATGTTATTTACCTCCGAGTCGATCAAGATCTGTTAGATTCAGATTGACGACGTTTTTGGAATCCGGTCTGTATCCCACAGCTCTGCGTTCAGAAGAAGCTACTATGGCCTTTGGCTACCAGTGGTCAGTTCAACCACGCTTTCTCTATGGAGAGTGAACCCACTGACTCCGTTGACCCCTTTATAGGTGAAATTTTGTATGCACCTCAGAAGAATCGACCGTTGTGCATTTTCGTATAAATGCTTGAAGTTCTGGCCTTACGACAACCAAAGAAACCAAGCGTTTTTGGCACACTTTATTCTTGGGAGTGGATTTATTTAAGGGGCAGTATGCCATATGAAAATCTTCATTGTCTGAACACATGGATGTAATAGGTTTATCTTGTGCTTCCTTATCAGTGTTTCCGTTCTGTTTTGGGTGTCGCTCTCAGATGCCGCCGTCCCTTCCAGGTGGCTGATTTTGGTCAGGCCTGGGTGTCATAGGTGCCCTGTTTTCTGGCGGCTTTTAGTTCCCCATAACCATTGACCAACCTGGTGTGAGAGACTCTGTGAGTGTCGCGGGACACTCTCCAGTATAGCTCAATTGATCGCTGAAGTGCGCAAACTGTCACACCACGGTAAGGTCCAGTCTCTTCGTGACGGTCATTAACATTCTGGTTTCGAACTGACTTCTGCTCACCCTCCGGACGTTCATACGCTTGCATACGATATATATACATATATATACATATATATATATATATATATATATATATATATATATATAGGTTGCATGTCGGCATGCGAAGTGCATGGCTTCGATGAGCTGGAAATGTAAGTTGCGTTTTTCATACCTTTGTATCCTTTGGATGCACAAATGCTACCCCCTTTTCAATCAAACTTAGTTGTTGGACGAAGAATTACATTACAACAGCTTCAATCTAAATCGCATGGATAGCGATTTCCGAGATTCGGTACTTTCCGTCGTTGTGAGAGTATGCCATGGGTGGAGTTACTTCGCATAACGGCCGGTTCACATTGGGGGCGAGATAGCCGAAGTGGTTAGAGCGCGAACTTATTGACCGGAAGGTCCGTGGTTCGAACTTGACCTTTGCCTCTCGAATTCCCCTATGTAGGATTGGGCAACCTGGCAGTATCCCAGCCCTCGTGCAACTTTCGGGTGGCATGGCAGTTAGGCACCGAGAGGGTTCTACAGCTGAACGATTCACATTGGTGCACGCCGCTGGATAAATTATTTGCATCACACAGGACTTTCATTTGAAAACACCCCAACCAAGTATTGGTCCAGGATGTGTGTATTTTTCGTCATATTTCCATCCTTTGGTCTGAATACGGTCACTTTATGTGATCCTTCGAAACAGCCTGGTTTTCAGTAAATTCGTCTGTTTCTCAATTCCACTGTAATATTATCATATCTCTCGATGCGCTGTACATCTGACCCAGGTTTTGCTACCACGAGCGCCTGTCCATTGCTGGCAACTGTCGCATGTGTCTGGTCGAAGTGGAAAAATCCATGAAACCGGTGGCCAGTTGTGCAATGCCCGTAATGCGCGGAATGAGCATTAAGACCGACTCACCGCTGACGAAGAAGGCTCGGGAGGGTGTAATGGAGTTTTTGCTGGTAAATCATCCTCTGGACTGTCCGATATGTGATCAGGGCGGAGAATGTGATTTACAGGTACGTCTGAGTCGCATACTTACGTACATTTCCGTGGGAGCAAACTCGTTTCGGATCATTGGACGGGAGTAATTTTTGCAACGGTACTCTTCCTTTCTCATAATTAACCGGACAGTTTATTCAAAGTATGTCTTTTTTCCAAAAAAACATGTAAGTGGTTAGAGCGCGAGTTTACTGACCGGGAAGGTCCGGTTTCGAACCCGCCCTCCGCCTCTCGACTTCCCCTATATAGGCTTTGGCAACGCGGCAGTATCCTACCCCTCGTGCCTCTTTCGTGTGGCATGGTAGGTAGCACCGAAATGGTGCTACATCTAAACGACCTCCCCCTCCCTCCCATACCTAGATAACCTGGAAGCATTTCAAGCTCTTTTAAACACCATGGCAACTGTGCAAGGCCCCAAAAGGTGGTATCACAAAAAATTATTCGTTTTTCTTTGTTTGCTGTGAAGTGTTGCATAGTGTAGGAGTCGAAAGGGGTGCTATGAAACTATTATCCCTTTCCGCCTTTTTCTGAAATGTTGTCTCGTTCATCGGTTCCAGAACCGTATTAACAGGATGAAGTACTTGTCCATACCTAACTGCTCAATAAGCTTCTAACAGACTTACCCGTGAATGTCCGATTTTGTGCGCTTACTAATTCAACTGTTTTCTTCGGTCTTACGTCTGGTCGTAAGTACCGATAGTCTTAACAGAACCAAGGAAGCAACAAAATAAACAGCATTAAGAAACAAAAAAACTAAGCAAAGTGAGAAACTCACGCAACAGCCTTTGTCACCTTTTAACTTCTTATGGAACAATAAAAATATGAAATGGCAAGTCCCCAGGCCTACAGAAGAAGCGTGGTCTGATGCATTAATGTTGTTTTGCCGGTCGATCAAATAGCGCGGTTAAAAAGTGCGGCTCAACTGAAGACCCATTTATCCACAAGGATGAGAGATGTTCTTCCATTAGCTGTTGCTTGTAAGCGAGACTCGCATTCCGAACATATTGCTTCCTCGGGGCTATTCCCTGGTTATACGTTTCTCACAAAGCCAGCAGTGTTGTTTCATTCAGCCTTTCTGGAACAATTGTGGGATGTAGATTTCTTCAGTGACGAAGCTCAACGATGTCACAGTGGAGTTGGACGTAGATGTTTTTTGGAACATTTCTTGTTTGTTGGGAGGTTTGGCACGCATTCGGGACATCCGATGGTAAACATTTTTTGGATAATCCAGGAAACTTTCAGCTATGTCGGAGAGGATACTACTGTACTCATTGTTTAAGTTTCGCTTCGTTTAGGTCTACCGAAGTCAGCAAGTATTTCGTGTAGTTTTTACATCTCGTTCATCTTGAGATTTTCAACCAAGGCGCCTTATTTAGTTCTATTTTGCTGACCAAATCTCATGAGAATGAATAGGCTTAAAGGCTTGAGCACCTGTGTCGATGCATGATATTAACCCAATGACACAAGGAACCGTCTTAAATTTTTTTACCTAATGGTCTGAGACTAAAATTTGACTGGATAATCGCATTTAACTTTCAGGATCAGTCAATGAATTACGGTTCCGATAAATCGCGATTTGTTGACAATCTCTTTTCCGGGAAACGGTAAGCACATTCTTCCTTGCTGATTGTACAAGAACATGATAGCACTGATAATTTTATTAACTGTTTGCTTCTCCTTGACGTATGCACTTGACTCAGCCGTTGCCTTAATTGTTAATTGACCGGATGCATTTGGCCTTTGATAATAATGAGCTTAGTGGACAATAGCTAATAGCTGAGAAAACACCAATAGTTTAATATTCGCAAGTCATCGTTTCCGATATACGGACACTTCCGGTTAAATAAGCTCGCTGAATCAACAGGATGCAGCAGTCGAAGCCATTAGGATGGCGGCCATCGTTAGACGCCAACTCCATGTTATCTTCTGAACTCCAAGTAGTTCCCCCCAGTAAGGTGCTAGTTCTGTAAGAAGCTCTAGATAGGTCCTGTTGGGCAGTCTTCTGTCAAACCGGCGAAAGTCTCCCACTAAATGTCTGATGTCCCGGATGCACTAGTAATCGAAGATGGAAAAGCCTCGAATGGATTTCGTCTGTAAAGGCCAAATTCCACCGTTGCTAAGTAGAATTGGGCGCACAGGGACCTCGTTTATTCATTTTCTGAGTTGAACGCTTATGTCGTGATAGCGCCAAGGTAGTATATGTTGGAAAATGCCCCCTAAAGCTTCGTTATTCTATTTGTCACCATCAGTGCTGAGGTAATGAAGCATCAGTGTCAACACTGATGTTGCTATTTTTAATGATGATGAGTTCTGAGGCAACTGGGCGCAGAATTCGTTCCAATGTCCCAAGCAGTACTGTCAGCCTATTAAGAATATTATTTCTGGTCTGAGAGGTATCACAAACCGAGAAAAATCCTGGTGATAGCAAGAAATAACACATGGCATAGCATAGCATATCACAGCAACCACCTCCAGTGCGATGCCATAGCTAATAGCGCAAGCTTTTGTCCGTCCGTTTCATTCACAGTCTAAATTCTAGTATCGTACGTCACTTTCTTCATGTTTGAGATTGATCCCGACCTACGCCCGGATGAACAAATTGTTGCTATGACACAGCCATTCAGAGAACAGTAAACATATTTTTATTGAGAGCCGCGTCATAACTTACCCGTTGGGACTTCACTTATAATCCGACATGCATTTTACCAGCCTCATCGTTCGCATTCATGCGCAGTCACCAGCAAAATAGTTACCTACGGCTTTTATCACAGGTAACGAGGTCCACTAGCAGCTTGTTTGTGTTTGATGGGAAGAACACAACTTTTGGCCGCATTAGGTCAGCATGTTTGGCATTTTGGAAATTGCCTCTATACAGTGCCAGAGATGTCGATCGGCAAAGGCCAAATTGCCATCTTTTAAATTTGTATGAACGCTTTTTCTCTGCCATATTTGAGACCTTTAGATTGGTAACCAAGTATTCAAGTCTCCTTGAAGTGGCTGTTTGGGGATACGGTGCGCTAGCGTGCATCTCACATGACCTAATCAGTAAAGTTCTATGTGGGTAAAACTGCTTACATCCGTATATTTTTTTGTTTTCTGGCCAACATGAACGATTGGTGTCCCGTCTGTTGACTGCAGTGAATGTTCGATTGTTATAAACTACCATATGGTGCCCATACGTGACTCGAATGTGAATGTTCTTTGAGTGTTTCCTTATTGCAACGGACGGAAGACAGTGCAGTGATATCCACCCACTCACCAGGCCATCATAGCAGCAGCTGATTACCGAACAAGTGGAGGTGATATTTTTATTCTTGGTGTTATTCTGTCCAGAAACCAAACCAACTCGTGTTGTTCTATACTTTAGGGCAGTGGAGGACAAAAACTTGGGGCCATTAATAAAGACAATAATGACACGATGCATCCACTGTACTCGATGCGTGAGGTGAGTTAAATTTCTGCTCTGCAGTTTTTAGACTGCAGTTTTTAGACGTTGCACCGTTTTTATCACAAGTATCGCATCGCCCCATCCCGAGGTTACATCGTCATCTCAAGTGTGGTTAAGGAACTAGCTCAAGTCTGCAGATCTCATTTCCAGGTTGTCGAACGACTTGGACGAACCGTTGTAGTCAGAGTTGCTCCAGTAGTTGTCCGTATCAAAAACATGTGGTGCCAACATGACACTTCGCAACTGTGGATTTCTACATAAAACGTATGAAGCTTTGTGCGCGTGCGAGTTTCATTTCTCCAGAAAGTCTTTATGCGTTACAGCAAGACGCGCAGATCGGTATCTTCCTCTTACCGGTTGTGTAGAGTGGTAGAACCCAAGTATCGAAATGCTCTTATGTGTCGTGTTGCGTCTTCATCTGTGCAAGAGATCAGCTGTTGAAAATCCAATTGCCTTGAGAACTGGTCACCAGTTGCATGGGTCCCAGATGACGGGCGGTTCGATCAGCATGTAAATTTATGTTTTCGACATTTAAGTAAGGTAATGTCAGTAGCTTATTCCAGTTTGGTTCGCCGAATTAGGCGGCCAGATTGCAAAAAATGCGGGATTATTACGCACGCTGCGATAAACAGCCATTTACAGATTAAGTTGGTAGTAACAGAAACTCACCTTAAATTAACCTGAATTTTTGTTTTATAATGTTTTGTGCTCTTTTTAATACAATTTACCCCACTAATTTGTTTGGTTTAGGTACTGTCTGGTTTGCATTAACAAACTACTTTGGGGTGAGAAGGGTGGGATTTTTTGGAACTCCGTCGGTGAGTAAGACAGGTCATCAGATCATTCTTCTCTCACACTGGAAGCAAGATCAAATTGTGGACTCGAGTCTTCGCTGGCGAATCGTCACTTTTCGGATAACAACCAGCTTGATCGGTATGTCATGGGCGGGTATGATGGCCTGTGAGCCACATGAAGCTCAGAAAATGATGGGATAGACTAAAACTTAACTCGGTGTGAATATGTGGTCCATACGCATTCTTCCGGGACGGAGGCCACCCTGTTTGGGTGGATTATCTCGCACTTCTAAAAATCCTCTAAGTAATACTGAGTCAGAGATGCCAGCGGCGACATACTTGGCGTTATCAGTTTCATTCGGCGTCTATCAAGAGATGCACTTCTAGCCATTGTGCAGCCGGGTTCTGTCTGCAAGGCAGCATGAAAGTTGTCAAGAGCGTGGAACAGCACCTGAATCATGGCTGTTGTATTCCCAAAGCTGTGCTATCCGTAAAATCAGCCGGAACCGATTCATTTTCTAACTTATGTTCGTTTGAAATCAGGATTCAGTCAACCCTACTAGATGCATAACTGGTGATCCATCAGCCAGATTTCTCTGCTTCGGAAAGACAGTAAACAGGACTTCTCTGACTGAGGCTACATCCTAGCAAGTCTCTCGGAAGCATTTCACGGGTCGCAAGGGTCGACGTCACTCAGTTTCAAAGAAACTCATCCCAACTCATATCAAGATGTCTGGGTGACCTTTGACTGACTACAAATCGTCCTCTAATGTATGAGCGATAACAGTTATCGCTGAACACCATAAATCAAAAGGATAAGCTTCTCGAGCTTAGTTTTTACTTACATCATCTCTGCACAACATTTTCGCGGGGTATCTGACTAGTTTTTCCCTTACCACACAATTTTTCCGACCCAAAATGCAAATAATCAATCTCTGTCACTCATAGATTTGCTAATGAAGTTGCTGGAATTCCTGATCTGGGTACAACTGGCCGTGGCAACAACATGCAGATTGGTACCTATATTGACAAACCCTTCTTCAGTGAACTGTCTGGCAACGTTATCGATCTCTGCCCGGTAGGAGCCCTTACATCCAAACCATATGCATTCACTGCTCGCCCATGGGAAACACGTCGCATAGAGTCTATCGATGTGATGGACGCAGTCGGTTCTAATATTGTAATATCTATGCGCACGAACGAAGTGCTACGCGTCATACCACGACTGAATGAGGTGAGTTTCTTTCAGACTTCCCTTTTTCATTCCAATTTTATTTTTGATGTACGGCAAAAGGCTAAACGGATAGATAGCCTTTCGGCCTGAGGTCATTATTAGGACAAATAAACATAAGACGCCCGGAATCGTGTTGAATCGGGCTTTGTAAAGTTGGAGACTACAAGAGGGCAGTACACGACCCTTTTTGTCTCGATGCACTCCCATCCGATCACGCACCAGTATACGGCTATGCTATTTTTAGGCTATACTTCTTTCCAGTGTACGAGTCATCGTCATAATCACCATCAGAAACAGCAAAATCATTGCCGTACAACCACAAAGTTTATTTACACCATCAGAACAGCAAAATCATTGCCGTACAACCACAAAGTTTATTTAATTATATTTAAAGCCTTGATGTGAGTATAAAAGAGAAGACAAAGCACGAGGGAGGTACCTGATGCTGGCCCACTACTGGCATTGTGAAGCTCCTGCACCTCGAAACGGTCAATCAGACGACGTGGAAAGGAGTTGACAGCCGCTGGTTTATCCCTGAATCTGAAGGGACGTGTGTATCAAGCTACAGTACGGGGTGTCTTGTTGTATGGCTGTGAGACTTGGCCTATTCGAGCAGCGGAACTGAGACGTCTTCAGGTGTTCGACAATCGTTGTCTCAGAACCATAGCTCATGTTGGTTGATGTCGGCGAATTTGTAAGGAGGCAGTTAGAAAGCGCGTTTTCGGTTGTGTAACGGGTACCTCCATTGAAGAATGTGTCCAGCACCAGAAGCTGCGTTGGTTGGGACATGTGTTACGTATGCCGAACCATCGTTTGCCGAAGAGAGTACTGTTTTCCATGCCCAATTCGGAGTGGCGTAAACAGAGAGGTGGCCAACCCTTGGCTTGGCAGAGGAGTATGAAGGAGATCACGAAACGCTTGGGTGCTGTCGGTGCTACTCGCCTTCCAGGATGGGG